AATTTTTTTTTGTTGGTAGAAGATCTTACCTTGATGTTGATGGTGGCTGATGGATCAGGGTAGTGGACTCTGAAGACTGGAGTTGCTGTGGCAATTTCTTAAAAGAAAATAGCAATGAAGTTTGCCCACATAGGTGGACTCTTCCTTCCACTTGAATACTTAAAGGTCATTGTAGAGTTATTATTTGGCTTAATTCCAGTATTATTGTGTCTCAGATAATAGGGAGGCCCAAGGACAGGAAGAGAGATAGGGGAAGAGCTGGTCAGTGGAATGGTCAGAATACGCACAATATTTATCAATCAAGTTCTATCTTATATGGGCATGGTTTGTGGGGCCCCAAAACAATTACAATAGTAATATCAAAGATCACTGATCACAAGTCCCCATAACACATATAATAATAAAGAAAATGCTTGAAATATTGCAGGAATTACCAAAATGTGACCACAGACATGAAGTGAACACATGTTGTTGGAAAAATGGCATCAGTAAACTTGCTCAATGCAGGGTTGCCATAAACCTTCAATTTGTAGAAAACACATCTATGAAATGCAATAAAGCAAAGCACGATAAAACAAGGTATGCCTGTACAAATTCTTTTGAAATTGTTCATATCCTTTTACTACTGACCTATTAGAATATGGCTTTGGGAGTAATAGATTTCTACTAATTGTCCATGTGTTTTAGATACCACATTCTTTTCAGAGATAGTTGATGCAAAGATTTTTTTCCAAACTGGCTGTTTCCCTTCTTATCCTATTTGCATTATTCTTCATGCTAAAAAACTTTTCAAATCTGTGTAACCAAAATTATCTGCTTTATCATTTGTGATTTTATCATTATCCTTTGTTTAAAAAAGAATCCCACCCTTTTCCATATGAAAATGCCTGATGTGGTTAGAATCTTTTATGGTATGACATTTACTATTCAGATCATGTATCTACATTTAGCTTATTGGGTTTTTTTTTATAGCATATGATACTTATCTAAACCTAAAGCCTGCCAACCAGGTTTGCAGTTTTCCCAGCAGTTTTTGACAGAGTTCTTCCCCAGGTAATTTATGTTCTTGGATTTAACAAACCCTACATGGTTGAATTGAGCTGTTTGTGATTTACCCTGTTCCATCCTGAAACAAACAGTCTGTCCCAATGATCTATGTATTTTTTTAAATAGTCTCAAACAGTTTTTGATAATTACTATTTCACAGTATATTTTGACCTTTGAAAGTACTCTGCCCTCCTCATTTCTACTTTTTTCATTATTGCTCTTGAGAATCAAGATCTTTTCCCCCCTCCAAATGATTTTTATTTTTTCATCTAGCTCTGTAAACTACCCTTCAGAAAATCTGTTCTTTTTTTTTTAGCTAGTATTTTTATTATATTGGCACAACCCAATCACTTACACTGAATGCCCTATCGGATATCTAAAAAATTCTTAATGTTTTAAGGGATGTGTTATAATTTTATCTACACACAAGGATGTATTGGAGCCAGGAGAGCTGATTGTTAAATTTTCAGGGTGAATTTTTAAACCTCAGAAATTGGCAAAAGCTACAAATAAAGGCTTAAGTCATACTCTTGTTGATTGCCTAGACTTAAAATGCTCATAATGAAGATTAAACTCAAAAGTATGTCCTACATAACATTTCCCTCCCCCAGAGAGACTGTTGTTAAATATTTATCAGCATACCCCTGAAGTCCTGAGTGTGCCATACTAGGTTAAATCTCAGGGAAAAAAATACACATACATACATATATATATACATACACATATGTAATAGAGTTGGTGTTATTTGATGTAGCTTTCCTTTATTTGCGCCTAGATTTTGCTATTGCTCTATAGAAATATATTGATTTTGTGAGTTTATTTTGAATCCTGCTACTTTAGTGAAGATATTGTTTACTATTTTCTTTGCTTATTTTCTAAGTAAGTTGTATCATAGTTGAAACACCACTCTGCATCCAAAGTTTCCATTTACTGCTTCCCCAGAGAACTGCTGATGTCATATGCTGAGCTGCTTCCTTCAAAGTTTCCATTTGCTGCTTCTAATGGGCTGATGTCTTCTGTTCTCCATTGAATTGTTACTGCTATATTGGATTCACCTTACATTGAGTGTTCATAGCTCTTTTATGAGTCAACCCATCACCTCAGGGCTATTTTCTACTCTTCCTAGAAGACAGACCAAAAGTTTTACCTGATGAAAGACTTCCTCAGACAGGGAGGGGAGGGGTAGGGGGGGGAAGGATTTGTTTGTTTGTTTTTTCTATTATTTTTCTTTTTCATAGGATTTCCCTCAAGCTTGTTTGAAGGGCACAAGTACAGGAGTTAAAATTTGCAATAATAATGTTCCCCCCGCCCTTTCCTCCCAGACCAGAACAAAAGAAGAGGGGATAGGAAACAATACGAAGATTTGGAACACAGAATTGGGGAAGAGGAGAGCATAAAAAGAAGCTCAAATGACCTTAAGTTTTTTTTTTCTCTTCCTAAGAAGGGGGAAGAATAGTGTAGATGAATTGTAAAGAGAGGTGATTGTTGTAACATTCTAGGAAGTGGATGAAGAGGTCTTGATTTAGGATGGTAACGATGGAAACATAAAGGAAGAAATAGACATGACATCACAAAAGAATTCACAAGATTTGATCACTATAGATAGAGGAAGTGGGAGAGGACAGACTTAAGGAAAGCTCCAGGTTTTTGATGGCGTCTAGGTGGTACAATGGATAGTGCCAAGCCAGGAGTCAGGAGGACTCATCTTCCTGAGTTCAAATCTGGCTTCAGACACTTACTATCTGTGTGACCCTGAGCAAGTCATTTAACCCTGTTTGCCTCAGCTTACTCATTGATAAAAATGAGCTGGAGAAAGAAATGGCAAACCACTCAAGAATCTCTGCCAAGAAAAACCCAACTGGGGTCGTGAAGCGTCAGACACAACTGGGAAAAAAAAAAGACTGAACAACAATAACCAGGTATTAAGCTAAAAGAATGATAATATTTTTGACAGAAATAGGCAAGTTCAAAGAGAAAACTGACTTAGGGGGAAGAGAATATATTTAAATTTTAGTTATGATTCCTCACCGAGAGGAACAGTTTTGAAGGCTTGGTGGAGTGAGAATTTTGTTATATAGGCTTTTCTCAAAGTTTTCCATGTTTCTGGGGGCTTTGAACCTGGGAAGAAATTTCCTCCCATTTTCCTCCCTCAGTTCAGAAGCCAATCAACTGAGATGAAGAGAAGCCATATGGAGAGATGGAAAAAAAGAGATAATTGTGAGCCACAGTGGGCCTCCATGTTTCTTGTTCCAAATCAGCAGGGAATTAGAAGATTGGATTCTACCTGTGATACATAAAATGGGAAAAACAAGCAGAGCTGAGACTTCATGGTCTCACAGAGCTGAATAGACCAATAGACTAAGGTGGGTGAGACCATCAGAATCCAGTCCATTTCCATTGTCTTCCCTTAGCTTGTCTGCAACAATATCCAGGAACAGACCTAGATATCCACAACCTATTGTCTTTATCTATTGTATTCCTTTTGTCTTTATATCAATACAATGTTTTGTATCAATAATATACATACAATAAATGTTTATTCATCAGTTCAGAGATAGAAGGAAACTTAGAAATCTAGTCCTTAGAAATCTAGTCCAACCTCCTTGTACTACTGATAAGGTTATAGATGCCCAAAGAAAGGAAAAATAACGTGCCATGGTTACACAGTTCGTAAATTTAGATTTAAATCTAGCTTCTCTGACTTCTAGTCTATTATTTCCACTGAATCATGATTTGGAAGATAGGTACTTAATCTCTATTTCGTGATCATCTGGTATTTCTCATAGTCAAATTATCTCTATTCAGTCATCTCTGTTTTTTGTCAAAATACATTGACTTATTAGCTCTGTTGGTGGTTTGTATTGCTCACTGGTAAAGCCAAATTTTTGTTGTTCAGTTGTTTCCACTTTTTGTGATCCCATTAGGGGTTTTCTTGGCAAAGATTTTGGAGTGGTTTGCCATTTCCTTCTCCAGTTTATTTCACAGATGAGGAAACTGAGGCAAGCAGGGTTAAGAGACTTGCCCAGAGTCACACAGCTAGTAAGTTTCTGAAGTTGGATTTGAACTCAAGTTTGCCTGACTCCAGGCCTGATGTGCTATCCACTGCACCATTTAGCTGCCAAATATAGATGAATATCAGTGAAATGGAATTCAAGCAACACTAAATAGGCCACTTGTCTTGTCAGGTAAATTTAGCAGATAGCCATGAAAATCCAATACAAGCTCATAGGATCTTAGATTTTGAGCTGAAGAAGACCATAGCTAACGCAACTCATTTTGAAGAGAAGAAAGCAAAGGCCACAGAGGTTAAGCCACTTGTCCAAGGCAAGTGGCAAAGCTGGAATTTGAACAAAGGTCTTCAGATTCTAAATCCAGCATTTATTCAATTTGTCAGATAATCACTCATTTTTATCACTCCATAGATACTCAACATGGCATTGGGTTTTAATGGCCATTACCTAACAGTTTACTTTTCCTGAAAAGTAGCTCTGAATACATGACTTAACTCTTGCTTTTCCTTCCTCCCTCCTCCTCCCAAACACCCAAATCAGCTCCATAGACAACATGGACAGAGATATTTTTGTGTAGTGGAAAGTTGTGATCCATATGAAGGGCACCTAGTCAACTTTCAGCCATTCAGTCTAATTAAGTCAAAATCAATAAATAGCAAAGACGGTATTACCACTGTGCTAGAATAATTGAGTTTACTAGGAGGATAACAAAGGACTTTCACTGACTCTCCAGAGATTGAAAGAGTATTCAGAAATGACAAAAATTCATTCTTCTAATGGTACAATCATCTCATCTCTACTAAATGTAATTATTTTATAAAATAAATTATTAAAATGTAAAATATTATAAACATGCATCATCATGACAATTATATCACTTTGTCTTATCCAATCTGTTTTGTGTTGCTCAGGAAAGCATCTGACAATAAGTGGACCCTGCCTGCTTCAGGAGTCACCCCAAAAGCAAATGCTGGGCTGAAGGAGCAGGAAGGTGAAAGTAGTGGGTGTTTGAGAGACAAGAGTCACAGGGATCAAATCTATATTTTCCTGAAAATGTCCTTTTTGGCTTGTGAGAAGTTTTCACGTTGCAATCCAACAGGAAGGCCAGGGAATAGTCAGCTCATATTACTGAAGTCTTCAGATGAAACAGGGCTGGAGCAAAGTCAGCATTTGGCCCTTTCCTCCTTTCTCTTCTTTGCCACCCTTGAGGTTCTTAGCGCACAAAAGAGTTGCAGGGGCCACATCTTGAGCGAGGGGCACAGGGTCCACAGGGGGCACATGGGACACAAGGATTGCTAATTGGGCAAGGGCCGATGGGCTTGCCACAGGCATTGGTTGTTGCACAGGGATTGCAGGGAAGTCTGGGGAGACAAAATTGATGGCGTTGAGTTAGTTGGGTGAAGGGTTAAAGGTTAAAAGACATGGAAATAAAAAGGACTAGCAACTTCCCAGCAAAATATGTCATATGAGAGCAGGTTCTGGGGATACTAGCAAAGTGCCTGATGCATAGATGGTGCTTTAAAAAATATTTGTTGCATTTAATTGCATCATATTATGACTTCCATTCCCAAGATGAATCCTTGAATAATTTGGTGGATCTGTGATCTCTTCAAGGAAGATCTGTACTTCCTCTGAAGAAATGGAGCACAAGGGGGCAGCTAGGTGGCACAGTAGATAGGGCTCCAGCCTTGGAGTCAGGAGGACGTGAGTTCAAATCTGGCCTCAGACACTTAACACTTACTAGCTGTGTGACCTGGGCAAGTCACTTAACCCCAATTGCCTCACCAAAAATAAATAAATAGATAGATAAATAAATAAAAAACATTCTTTTAAAAAGTGGATCACAACCCCTCCAGGCTTTCTCATCTCCCTCAAATCTTGTCCCAGTCCTCCCATCAATTTTCTAAGAAAGAATCTATCCTTACGCTTACTTCAGGCCTTTAAGTCATTTAATGTTTCATGCCTAGAAGTGCAGCCTTTGGCCTGCTGTCTATTATCACTCACTGTTCCTATCTTTGCCAAGATACATTGACTTCATAGTTATATTGTAGGGCTGTATGGATCATACATTTCCCATTTAAAATCTACACTCTGCTACTTGAGTGTAAATTATCATTGGTAATATACTGCCACCTCCTTAGCCCCACCATGGTCATACGATCATAGATGCAGGGTTGGAAGTCCATCTGGTGCAATCTTCTCATTTTACTGAGAAGGAAACTAAAGCATAAGGAGCATAAGTAGCCTTCCCAAGGTCACAGAGGTAGCAAGGAGTAGAGGTAGGTTTTGAACCCACTTCCTCTCCAGAACTAATGTACCATGCTACTGCCCCACTTCCCATACTGCTGTTTCCATTTGAAATGATTCATCAGCTTACCCCTCCCCATCCACCCACCCACCACCTAAAAAAATCACAGTGCCAGGGAAGAAATCACCAGTACTGGACTTACTTGCAATCCTCGCTCTCCAGCAGACCCTGGTACGTGGCGATCTCACACTCAAGCCGGGCCCGGACATCCAGGAGCACTTGGTATTCTTGGTTCTGCCTCTCCAAGTCACCACGAATCTCAGCCAGCTGGTCTTCAACATTGGTGATCATACACTGTACCTGAGACAGCTGGGAGCTGTAACGAGCCTCAGTCTCTGTCAGAGTGTTTTCAAGAGAATCTCTCTGTGATGGAGAAGAAAAATGAATGTCAGAAATAGTAACTGCTCTCCATTCATGATGGTATTGAATGACCTCCCCAAAATTCACATGTTTCTTTCTTCTTCCTCATATTTTGCCACAAAGTAGAGAACTCTCTTGGGGCCTATATTAAAGAATCTGAGAATTGAAAGAAGGCCTCAGAGGCTATCCAAAATCTACCCATATAGTCTACACCACACCAGACAAAGTGGCCTGCCTTCAGTAATGGGGAACCCAGGACCTCCCAAGGCAGCCCATTCCACTTTGGGACAACTCTGTTATGAGGTTTGGGCTGTTTTTGTTTTCCAGTTCTTAATTACAAATTTTGACTCTTCAAAAAGTCTACCCACTGCTCCTAATACTGGCTCCCAAGACAAAGCAAGTCTGATCTTTCTACCACCTTTCAAATACCTCAAGAGAGCAATTACATCCTTCTTAGGTCTTCTCCAAGCTAAACCTCTTAGCTCCTTCATTCAAGTATTATTTCATATGATTGCGATACCTTTCACCAATCTATTTGCCTTCCTGTGGGTACTCTCCAGCTTACTGGCATCTTAGCATGTGGCATATCCTTCACACATTTATTCCAGATGGGGTCTGATTAGGATAGAATACAGAGAACTTCTCACATCCCCAGGCCTGGATGCCCCACTCAGTTTAATGTAGCCTAAGATTACACAGGCCTTCTTGGCTGCTGTGTCACTCCGCTGACTCACATTGAGCTTACAGGTCACTAAAATTCCCAGATCATTCCCAGAAAAACTGCTGTGTAACCATTCCTCCTACATCTTGTGAAATTGATTTTTTGGACCTTAAACTGTAACCCTTTACATTTATCCCTGTTAAATCTTATCTCATTCAAATTAGCTAAATGCTCCAACTTGTTAAAAGCTTTTTGGATTCCTCCTCTGTCACCCTGTGTTAAAGTTACCCACCAAGTTATGCTGGGCCTGCAGCTCTATTTCCAGAGCATTGACGGTGCGTCTCAGCTCAATGATCTCAGCCTGGCAGTTTTGCAGCTGTTCAGAGCTGGACACCACCTGCTTGTTCAGTTCTTCTGTCTGAAATGTCACGAGAGCAAAAAGGTGAGAACACGATCCTCAAGGCCCCAGGAAATTTCTGGTTGTACAGTGGCCATGAGCTAGAGCCTCACCTGAGTGGTGAACCATTCCTCCACATCTCTGCGGTTGTTCTCCACCACGGTCTCATACTGACACCGGGTCTCATTCAGGATCCTGTTCAGGTCCACAGTTGGGGCAGCGTCCACCTCCACATTGAGACGCTCCCCAATCTGGCATCGCAGGGTGTTGACTTCCTGGGGAAGAAAGAGTCAAAGTGAATACAAAGAAGCCTGATAACTTTCTTCCCTGGAAGACCTGCAAAGCCTTTCTAAGGATTCTATAGATTCCATCAGCCACAAACTAAAATTAGCCCTCCATCAACAGGAGAAAGCACCAGCCATTTTATCTTAGACAAAGGGGCATCACTGGCAGAGCGCTCTTCTTTATAGCTCCACTGCCCCAGTATTTCTACTTGGGAGAAGCCTAAGGTCAATGAACTCTAAAGTGTCTTGCAATGGAATCCAGTGTTTGATTCCCATGCAACCACACACACACCCATGGGAAAAGGGAGAGTAGCACTAACAAGGAAGGAGGAAGGAGGGAGGGAAGGAAGGAAGGAAGGAAGGAAGGAAGGAAGGAAGGAAGGAAGGAAGGAAGGAAGGAAGGAAGGAAGGAAGGGAGGGAGGAAGGGAGGGAGGGAGGGAGGAAGGGAGGGAGGGAGGGAGGGAGGGAGGGAGGGAGAAAAGGAAGGAGGGAAATGGAGGGAGAGAGGTAAAAAAGGAGGAAAGGATGGAAAGTAGGAGGATGGGAGGGAGAGGAAAGAGTCAAAAGAGAAAAATGATTAAGATGTTTATCCTTAGACAGAATTGAGCTGTCCAGTAAGCTGTTTGGTTCTCGCAGTAGTGGTAGAAGTCCCATGAAGGAAAACTTCTAGTCATTTTGCTCTTGACCTCCTTCATACATTCCCACAGGCTGCTTCAGAGTCAAGTGCTTACTCTCTGAAGCAGAACTAATCAAACCACAAATTTTTCAGGATTTAGCATCCTGTGGTGTGCTGCCAAGAGCAGTGGACTAGGATGAAGGAGACTTGAATTCTGGTTCCTGAACATTTCCGCATTCCAAATCTCAGTAGCCTCTTTTGTGACAAATGAGGTCCTGAAGGCCCTTCCAGCTCTCTCTCTCCTATTCCTTCTGAAGCCATGAGGTTTCCACCATGAAAGCAGAAGAGGAGGCCATAGAAAGCTGCCCTGCTGCTGACCTTAGTTCATGAACATATGCATCTGTTTTTCTTTGCTCAGGTGTCTGGCCTCAAGCAGAAAATTCCATGTCACGTATACAATTTACACATTACTCATTCTCTCATTTTATGCAATAAGATTTGTTACTGAAATAACTTCTCTAGTTCCTTGGGGCATAACAAATGGCCTCTCTGCCTTGGTTACCTCCACTTCTTAGGCTACAACAGGTTCCAGCATGTTTGGGTCCCACAGGTGCTCAGCATGCCCTACCTGCTCGTGGTTCTGCTTGAGGCAGAGCAGCTCCTCCTTCAGGGACTCCACTTGGGCTTCCAGGTCAGACTTGCACAGGGTCAGATTGTCCAGGATTCTGCGCAGGCTGTTGATATCAGCCTCCACCAGCTGACGCAGGGACAGCTCAGTCTCATACCTGTGACCCCCAAAGGAAATGGTCAGTGGAGTGAGACGTGGAAATGAGTTCTGACTTGGACTCTGAAGTTTTTCTGTTTCAGTTTTCATTCTACTGTTTCTAATTAGGACCTAAGAATTATAGCAGCCATTTCTGCCCATTTCTTTAATCACCTTTACACAGGGTGTCCCAAAAGTCTCAATTAGGTTAAAACTGCCCTGAGACTTTTGGGACACCTTGCACTAAGCCCTCACAGAATATCTTGATGCACTTCCCCATCCCCCAGTTGTTCTTCCCCTAAAGCTTAAATGTCAGGAAGTACACAGTTTAAAGTTTATACAAATTATCAAAAATTGGTAAGCTTAATATTGGGAAAAGAAGTTCAGTAATCATCTGTATCCCCAAGAAAAACCACCTTCAACATGCCTGAGATTTGTTCTGGATGAAGCAAGGGAAATAACATGATGGAGTGGATTTGGAAACAGAAGGCCTTAATGACCTGATGTTTTCTCACCATGGAACCTTGGTCAAGTCACTTCAACTCCTCTGAGCCTCAATTATCTCAGCATGTAAAAGGAGAGAGTTGAACTAGAGCTCTCCCAAAGACCCTTCTAGCATTGAAGATCTGTGATTTCAATATATCTCTCTTGTGAAAATGCAAAGAAAGAGCCTTGGGTTCCATTAATGGCAGAGCAGGCAAATTAATGGAAAAAGAGGGGCAACTGTGGTATAATGGAAAGATTATTGGATTTCCAAATCCAGAGAATAAGGTCTGAGTTCTAATTGAGACTCTGCCGCTTACTACCTATGCAACCTTGGACAAGTCACTTCTCTATGCCTCAGTTTCTTCATCTGTAAAAGGAGAAGGGGACCCAATGATACAACTAAGATAACTTCCAATTCTAGGTATATGATTCTACAACATTACCTGCATAGAATTTGGGCTAGTAACTTTACTTTTCATGGTCTATTTCCTCAACTATAAAATAAGGTTGGACCAGCAGACTCCTGAGATCTCTCCCAGCCCTGGTTTCTGTAAGTTGACCAGTAGCCTCTGCTTCACCATGCCAACTCACTTGGTCCTGAAGTCATCAGCAGCCAGCTTGGCATTGTCGATCTGTACCACCAACCTGGCATTCTCAGACTTGGTGCATAAGATCTAGAATATTCCAATAGGGTACACAGGCAACAAGGTGTTAGAGCAGCCAGTCATCTATGAGCTGTAAACAACTAAGATTTCAACCTTGATTCCTTCAAACATTGGATTTGAGCAATAGAAAAGAGGCTGGTTGGTTGACCACAGTATCCATTATTGGATTGTAAAAGGTCATTCATTACCAATATGGATGTACTGTAAGCTCAGAAAATCATTTTTGAAAAATGTTATCAGGTAAGTAATCTCTCCTCAATATACTGTTCTCCTTGAAAATAATCATAACCCCCTTCCATTCTGTATGGCTGTTAGTAACATTTCCCCTACCCTTTCCCAAACCCCCCCCACACACACACACACACACTTCCAGATATTTCCACTCTTGATTCCTCACAGTTTATAGGCCCACTAGAAACCACTTCTGAGAAGAATCTATTGATTTTACTTCTCTTTGTATCCTTGGTGTTTATCATAGTACCTGACACAAAATAGGCACTTTATAATACTTATCGACTAATTGACTAAGAAATAGAAACACTGATTAGTTTAGATTCAAGGTTGTCCATTCCCCCCAAAAAAATGACTAATCCTCATACTAAGTCAGGTCTCCTCTCCAGAGTTTTTTGTCAGTAAAGAGTGAGCTTCATGTGTCTAGCTTCAAAGACATAGAATCATTAAAGCCCTCACGACAGCCATTGTTAATTTGGCTTGGTGGGTAAGGTACCAATATTGCTTTGCCCTCTAGCTCTCATGTCCTAATTCCCAAGTATTAGCTTGACTTTGGCTCTGACTCTTTTACAGGTGTCAAAAGTCATAGACCATTTTACTTTTTAATTTGGTGGTCCAAAAAACAAAAGCTTAATAAGTGTTGAGAGGTTGACTGAAGCCCAAACCAGAAAGATGAATGAGGTCCATTCAGAAAAAATAAACTCTGCCAGCTTCTCTCTTCAGCACCATTTCTCATCTATCAGGGCAACAACTGAGAAATTCCACTGGCTTTGGTAGATGGATCACTAGTGCTCAGAAGCAACTCATAATTACAGCTCTCTTATGCAAAGTGCTGTTAACTCCTCTATATGATTAACATTATGTAAATAAATATTCATACTTAACAGATAGCTGAAAGACAAAGGATGATCTGGGCAAAAACTTAGTCTTCCCCGTAATGATGGGAAATTCCAATGCCAAATTTCAAAAGTCTTAAATTTGAGGGGAATTTGCCAGGCCTAGTTTCACAATACAAGTCATTTCTCATATTTCTTATTCCTTCAGTCTTTGCTATCAAGTCTCAGAATGGCTTTGAGATACCCAGTCACCCATTTAATACCTTCTGCTGGAGCTCCTCAATGATCCTGAAATAGGACTGGTAGTCTGGGCACACATAGGGCACTTGCTCCTGGCACCACTCCTGGATCCTACCCTCCAGCTCAGCATTCTCCCTCTCCAGCTGCCGCACCTTCTCCAGGTAGTTGGCCAGGCGGTCATTCAGGAACTGCATGGTCTCCTTCTCATTGCCATTGAAGGAGCCTTCACAGAACCAGCCACAGGTGCCCACGTTGGCAGGGATGTTGCAGGCCCCGGGGAGGGTGCAGCTATGGCAGCTGGGAGGCAGGCAGGGCCTGGAGGAGCAGCTGGTGCGGCAGCTGATGCTAGGCAGGCAGCAGTTGTAAGGCATGGTGCTGAGTAGGGTGGTTGGTTGTTCGGTTGGGTACAGAAGACTTGTCTTCAGAGCCAATGAGGTTATGCAGCCTCTGTCCACCAATAAGCCTTTATAGCCCTTCAGCAGAGGGTGTGGACAGAGTGCCACACCTTTATTTTTACCTCTTTATCCCACAAATTTTCAAATGCCCTTCCCCTCAGCTTGTTATTTACATCCCTCAGAAAAGTCCCTCACCTCATAAAAGACTTTACTTGGGCTTCCTGCTAAGTCAGGACTCCTCTCCACAGCTTTTGTCAGTGAAGTAAGAGCTTCATGGGTCTAGCTTCAAAGAGGTAGAATCATTAAAGCCCTCATGCCAGCCATCGTTAATTTGGCTTGGTGGGTAAGGTGACAATATTGCTTTGCCACCTAGCTGTAGTGTCCTGACTCCTGGGTATTAGTGTCTGACTCTGCCTCTGGCTCCTTTTACAGGTGGCAAAAGTCATAGATCTTTATTTTTTTCTCCCTTTCTCACATATCTCCTATTCCAAACAAAGCAGCTTCAATAAATCTATCAACTAGTCAACAAAATTTTTGACCACCTACAAAATACAGTGAATTGTCGTTGGCACTAGACTGGAGACACAAGGAAGTATAGGCACTATTCCTGTCCTCAGGGAACTTATATCCAGTGGGGATATAAGACTTGAATCTTGAAAAGATAACTCATAATTCAAGTGAACATTTATTAAACACCTATTATGTACTAATGGAGAAGGGAATGGCAAAGCACTCTAGTGTCTTTGCCAAGAAAACCTCACGGATGCTCTACTGGTGCTCTGTGGTCCACAGAGTCAGGAAGAGTTGGACATGACTGAATGACAAAACAATAACAATTGAGTACCAGATAGAGAAATAGTGAGATGTAGTGGATAGAGAGCCAGTCTTGGAGCCAGGAAGATCTAAGTTTGAGATCTGTCTCAAATTGGCTGTCTGACTCCAGGCAAATGACTTAGACGCTTCCAACTCTAAGACTTTAAGTTTCAGAGAAGGTGCCATCTTGCATTAGTAGACAGAGTCTGCTCATTGGGGAGCTATCTATCCCTAAAATGAAAGCACAGGTCTAGTCCCCATCCCTATGTGACAGGTACTGTGGTAGGCACTGAGATACCAAGACAAAAATGAATCAGGTTTTGCATCCTTCCACAACTCAGGAGCAGTAGCAGTAATGATAGCCTATTACATTTCTGTACCACTTTATGGTTTGCAAAGCACTCCATTCATTAGGTAGCTTAAGAGTTAGCAGTAGATGCCAAATGTTACTAGTACAGACAATTGCTATGGAGGAGGAGGTAGATCCATGAGCTGGCATGGTCGTGGAGAAGATGAGTTTTGACTTGGTCCTGAAGTGATGGAGAGGATGAGGGAGCAAAACTCTCTGGCCTCTAATGTCCATTCTAGGTTTGATATTTTATGTTGCCATGGAAGTGCTTTCCATAGGTAGAAGGAGGACATTCCATAGGATATTAGATTTGGAGTTGGGAGGGACATCACAGGCCATCTAGCCCGATTGCTTTATTTTGCTGATTAGAAAAATGAGGAAAGGAAAATTAAGGGATTTTCCTAAGGTCATACTGGTAAAAATGAGATCTGAATTTCAGAACTAGTGCTTTTCAGAGAAGAAATGGTTTCAACACAATGTGGAAGAAGAAAGCCCAAGGTACGTGTTTAGGAGACAATAAACAAAGTAATTTATTTAGAATTGGAGAGGTTATACAGGAGAGCAATATTACAGACACTAGATGGCTCCATGGATAGAGTGTCAGGCCTAAATTCAGGAGGATCTGAATTCAAATCTGGCCTCAGACACTTACTAACTGTGACCCTGGGCAAGTCACTTAACCTTGTTTGCCTCCGTTTCTTCATCTGTAAAATTAGACAGAGAAGCAAAACACTCCATTACGGAACCCCAAATGAGGTTACAAAAAGTCAGACACAACTGAAACATGACTGAACAATAACAACAAACATAGATGAGTAGTGGGAGACCAAGTTGGCAAGATACACTGTGGTCAAACTATAAAGCACCTTGAATATAAGGCTTGAGTGTTGGTATTTAACCATGTAAACCATGGGTAGCCATTATAGGTCCTTAATCAGGGAAGTAATATGATCAGAGACAAATTTTTGGAAGGTTCATCTGGCTGCATTGTTCAGATTGGGTTGGAAAGGGCAGACTAGAACCATAAAGACCAATTAGGAGGCTTTTATAAATGCATGGTAATGAGGAGATAAGGGTTTGGATTAGGGTGATTACATTAGGCAAGAAAAGGAAGGGACAGATTAAAACTTTTTGAAGAATCAACAAAGCTGGGTGCCCAGTTGGACGTTGGGGTAGCAGGGAAGGGAAATCAGAAGAGCTCTAAAGTTTGAGCTTGCTACATATTTCACATTACTCCTCCTCATGTATGTCACATTCCAGTCAAACTGGCCTAGTTGGTATTTCCCATTCCTGACATTCCACCTCTCATCTCCCTGCCTTTGCATAGTTTGTCCCCTAAGCCAGAAATGCCCTCCTTCCTTACCCCTGACCCTTTGGATCTCTATCTTCCTTAAAAGCTCAATTGAAGTTCCACTTCTTCCATATGGCCTTTCCTGATTTCACACACACACACACACACACACACACACACACACACACACACCCCAACAAATTGTTAGTGCTATCATGTTCCCTGTTTTTCCCCACTCCATCACCTCTACCAATTATTTGTATTTATTTAATACATATTTTACTTTTATTTACCTTTATGCATGTTCTATCCTTCTTCCCTTCCTTTCCTCTCCCACAAAAAAAGCACCTTAAGATCAGGGATCATTTAGTTTTCATTTTCTTACACATATAGGCATTTAATAAATGTTTATTAATTTTAATAATTAAAATAATTAGCTTGAATAATTGACCAGGAAAGTGACAGAAACAAATACGGACAAGAGTCATATTGGGAGGGGAAAGGATAAGTTGAATTTTAGTCATATTGAGTTTGAAGTGTTACTATAACATATAATGAAAAAATGCCCTACTAGTAATTAGAGATATAAGATTTAGAGCTTAGGAGAAACATCAGGGCTCAAACATCACTATAAAAGATGAAGTAGATGAAAATTCCAAGGGAGAGATAATGGGCAGTGAAGAGTAAATGAGAACCAAATCTTGGGAAACATTCACACTGAGGGAGGAAAAGAAGGCATGTCAGAAAAGTGGAAGAGAAAGAGCAGGAAGAGGAAAAAGAGGTGACTGTAGTATCATGGGGAAAAAAAGAGAATTTGAGAATGGAGAGGGTACTCACTAATATCAATATCATGGAAGACAAGGAGAATGAGGATGGAGAAAATGCCACTGAATTTGATTATGGGGAAGGAGAAGTGGGGAGGAGAGAGTGACCTTTGAAAGCTGTACTGAGGGGCAACTAGGTGGCAGAGTGGATAGAGCACTTGCCCTGGATTCAGGAGGACCTGAGTTCAAATCCAGCCTTAGACATATAACACTTACTACCTGTGTGACCCTGGGCAAGTCACTTAACTCCATTGCCTAACCAAAAAGGAAAAAAAAAAGCTGTACCAGTAAGACTCAGGGAAAATGTGTCTAAATTGAATTTTTGTAAATTTAGTCCCTTTAGATGGGTGAAGGGAGCTTGTTATTGGAAAGAAAAGTATAGTCAAACTTTCTGTAAATACTATTTAAAAAACTAACATATACCCCCCCCAATTCATTCATTTTATACATATAGATGTTCATAAATGGGATTTACTAAAAGCAGTATGGTGCTATGAATTTCCTTTGGGTATGGCAAAGACAAATCCAGAAGGAAAAGAATCCAGAACCAGAAATAAAGAGGATAGAAACTTTGTTGTTGCTGTTGTTGTTCGGTCATTTTTCAGTTGTGTTCAACTGTGTGACTCCATTTGGGCTTATCTTAGCAAAGATACTAGAATGGTTTTCCATTTCCTACACCAGCTTATTTTATAGATGTAGAAACTGAGGCAAACAAAGTTGAGTGACTTGCCCAGGGTCACACAGCTAGTAAGTGTCTGAAGCCAGATTTGAAGTCAGGAAGATGAGTCTTTCTGACTTCAGGCCTGGTGCTCTATCCACTGCACCACCAGTTGCCCACCTTAGAAACTACTTATTTACTCATCAATCCACAAGCAATTTTGCACTATAGAGATATGAGTGCAAAAAGTGAGACAATCCCTGACCTCGAGGAGCTTATATTCTACTGGTGAGATACAACATGTTTCCATAGCAAAGCAATGAACAGAAAATCCCATCTCTTGCCTGAAGAAAATATCCTTAACAGCTGAGAAGCTCTTTACTGCCTGTTCTAGTGGAGGTGAAACAGAGTAAAGAGAAGTGGGAACCAATATCCTTCCTAACCACACCTGGGCAACCAACATCAAACCCTGTTTAAACCCAGACTTACAAAGCCTACAAAAGTACTGCTAGCTGGATAAATCTGAACGTGGCCTCCTTCTTTGGCAGCCACACCAGTTAATGGTAGGCTTGTTGTTCAGTTGTTTCAGACTCTTCATGACCCCATTTGGGGTTTTCTTAGCAAAGATACTGGAGTGGTTTGCCATTTCTTTCTCCAGCTCATTTTACAGATGAGGAAACTGAGGCAAACAGGGTTAAGTTACTTGCCCAGGGTCACACAGCTAATAAGTTCCTGAAGCTGGATTTGAACACATGAAGATGAGTCTTCCTGACTCCAGACCCAGGACTTCACCCACTGTGCTACTTAGCTGCCCTAGACTGTGCTAAAAGAGACATTATTTCCAGAACAAGGGAAGCAATGTATGGCTTGCTTTGCTCTATTCAGTAGGCCACATATGAGATATTGTGTTGAGTTCTGGGTACCACATTATAGGAAGGATATTAACAAACTGGAGCACATCCCAATGAAGACAAGTAAGGTGCTGAGAGGACTGGAGGATATGAAAAGATAGATGAGAGAGAGATAGAGAGAGAGAGAGAG